CCCAAGAGCGCCCCGAGAGCGCCCCAAGAGGCCCCAAGAGGCGCCCAAGAGGCCTCCAAAAGGCTCCCAAGAGACCCCCAAGAGGCCCAAGAGGCTCCCAAGACGGGTCCAAGAGCGAAAAGGCGAGAAAACAAAAAACATTGATTTTACCTAGGTTTTGGAAGGATTTTGGCCTCTTGGGGGGGCCCAAGAGGCGACTCGAGGCACTCTAGAGGAGCAGCGCTAATTGGGAAAGAGCGTGTTCTACCGCTGCTGGCGGAAAACCGGGGGGGTCACTACCGGTTCGAACCCCTCCACCCCCCCCCCCCCCCCCTCCGGAAAACCGGGGGGGGTCACTACCGGTTCGAACCCCTCCCCCCCCCCCCCCAGTCATCATGAAAAGGGGGGGGGGGTCACTACCGGTTCGAACCCCCCCCCCCCCCCCCCCCCCCCCCTCGAAAACCGAGTGGGGGTGCGGACAGTGGTGGGGACGGTGTTGGTGGGGACAGTGGTGAGGGGACAGCGGGACAGTGGTGGGGACAGTGGGGGGACAGTGGGACAGTGGTGGGGACGGTAGTGGTGGGGACAGTGGTGGGGACAATGGTGGGATGAGGGGGGACAGTGGACAGTGGTGGGAACGGTGGTGGTGGGGACAGTGGTGTGGGGACAATGGGAATGAGGTGGAAACAGTGGGACAGTGGAGGGTACAATGGTGGTGGAGACACTGGTAAAGGCGGTGGCGAGGACGGCGGTGGGACAATGGGACAGAGGTACAGTGGGGACAGTGGTGGGGACAGTGGGGACAGTGGTGGAAACAGTGGGACAGCTCAGTGGGACAGCGGAGGAGTCAGTGGGACAGTGGGGACAATGGGGGCAGTGGTTGGGTCCGTGGAGACAGTGGGGAGAGTGGAACCGTGGTGGGAACAGTTCTGGGGACAGCGGGGACAGTGCGACAGTGGTGGGGGCATTGGTGGGGACAGTAGGGCGGTGGTGGAACCAGTGGGGACAGCGGTGGTGAGGACAGTGGTGCTGGGAACACCAGTGGGGGATGTGATGCGGACGGTGGTGGGGACCGGGAGTCGTTTGCTGGCGGTGAGTAGGGGGGGGGGGGGGGGGGGGGGGGGGGGGGGGTTCGAACCGGTAGTGACCCCCCCCGGTTTTCCGGATCCGGAGGGGGGGGGGGGGGAGGAGGTTCGAACCGGTAGTGACCCCCCCCGGTTTTCGAGGGGGAGGGGGGGGGGGGGGTTAGGGGAGGGGGAGGGGTTAGGGAGGGGGGGGTTTGCCGGGAGGGAGGGGGGGGGGGGGGGGGGAGGGGTTCGGCAGGGGGGGGGGGGGGGGATTTTCGGAGGGGGGGGGGGGGGGACACCCGGGTTCCGGAGGAAAAGGTTGGCAATTTTCCACAGTAAAGCGGCGGTGGATCACGCTCTCTCGCTAATTGGGGACCCCCCCTTCTTTGATAGATCTCCTCCAAGATGGCCCCAAGAGCGCCTCGAAGGCTCCCAAGAGCGCCCCAAGAGCGCCCCAAGAGGGCCCCAAGAGGCCCCTAGAGGCCCCCAAGAGGCCTCCAAGAGGCCCCCAAGAGACCCCCAAGAGGCCACAAGAGGCTCCCCGAGATACGCAAGAGGCCCCCGGGACCGCCAAGAGGCCCCAAGGACGGCCCAAGAGGCCCCCAAGCTCGCAATTGTCCTCCTCCTCCTCCTCCTCTTTTTCTTCCTCCTCCCTCCTCCCCCTCCCCCTCCTCCTCCTCCTCCTCCTCCTCCTCCTCCTCCTCCTCCTCCTTCTCCTTTTCCTCCTTCTCGTCCTCCTCGTCCTCGCAGTCCTCCATCTCCTCCTCCTTCTATTCCTCCTCCTCCTCCTCCTGCTCCTCCTCTGCTCCTCCTCTCCTCCTCCTACTCCGACGACGACGGCTCCTCCTACATCCTCCCCCTCTTGGGGTATATGGCGGCTCACCCCGCCCTTTGTTCTTCTGCATGCTCCCCCGCTTCCCTCATAACCTCCACTCCCCTGGGACTCATTTCTGGACGGGCTGGTGGGGATACGCGAAGCGTCTAGAATTGCAACTGTCTGCTGTGAAACCGTCGAAGTCCGAGGAACTATCAGCTGTCGTCCTTTCAGCGCTCCTCCACCTTGAGCAAAAGGTAAACTTGAAGGTGGTTCCTGGCACGGTTTTGACCGGCGTTGGTCGCGCCGTTTCCCAAGCCGCGGGCGGGATTCGGAAAGAGTTTCAACCTGGCCTTAGAGGCCTCAGATTTCCAACGAGTGCCATCTTCAGTAACCTGGACGTGAGTCTCGCAAAGAGCAAGAACATTGTAGCTGGCATCTTTACTGCTAATGAGGAAGCCCCAAGAGTTCTTGCCAACAGCGGTAGAATTCGTCACGAAAAAAACACGTGACTCACTTCTGGAAGGACTGCACGTTCCCGTGGAAGCTGAACCCGACGCACTCGACGCTGTGGCCGACTGGCTGCTCGGGAAGCCCCCCTGCGCCGATCACGCGGCTGCTGAGCTCCCACTTGAGCCTTGCGCGCCGCCACTGCTGCCGGCACCACTTGGCGTCCCAGCCGCCGCGGCCGCGGCGCTCGTGGCGTCGCTGATGCGCTCGGCCTCGGCGGAGATGACTGCAGCGCCCTCCTTAGGCACTAATGCGCCGCCTGCTGGAGGTGCTCCAGGAGGATCGCCATCAAGAGGCACTAGGATTGAAACTCCATTGCCTGCTGGAACCTCACCGTCGACCTCGCCGCCGTCGTTACCCTTGCGTTTCTTGCATAGACGTATACTTACCAAGCATCGCCTTGACCTCGGAAGAGTCCATGCCAACCAACTGTTTCACTGATCCCAAGTTGGACTCGAGCTTGCGTAAATATGCTTTCTCGGCGGGAGTGACAGCGTATCTAAAGTACCAAGAAAAACTCTCATACCACGGAATGGAAACAAGAGCGTCCTGCCTGACCTCGGACCCTGGTTTGGTAACAGTCCCGCTGAGCTCGGCGAGCGTCAGGACAGCCAACTGCTCAGACTTCTCGGCACGAGTGAATGCAACTGCTGCTGCATTTTCTCGTTCGGCGGCTCGCTCCACGACTTCGTGGGCCCTGAGAAGAACTGCGATAACTTGGTCATGTTTGGTGACAGCGTCACGCATTGCTGCAGTCGCTCGCCGCCGGCCAAAGTCCTCTGGAGCGACTGACTTCTCGTTGTTCCCCCAGGGGTCCGTCTTGAGCTTCTGCACATGAGCCGCCAAAAAATCATCCCTCGCAGGATCTGTAGTGATGGCCAGCGCCCGCTCGTACACTGCCGTCGGCGAAGAACTGGACGGCTGAGATGACTGAGGTGCGGGTGTTGGTGCCAACGTCAACTTGTTAGACCCCTTGCCTTCTCCGCCCCGCTGGTTGGAGAAGCTTTGGGCCTATACAGCTCAACTTCGGCGTTACACATGATACTTCGGCGCTGGTGTTTCGTCAGGAGGTTGTTCCACTCCTGCCTCCCGCATGTCTGACACTTCGACCACCCTGTCGGAGCTGGATCTGCGGAATCGGAGGTAGCGGCGGCTCGAGCCTGTCCCTGCATGTTGCTACCCTTCTTCTTGGCTACCATGGCAAGGAGGAGGAGGTGTGAGACTGCCCTCCGCAGTCAACCAGGATGCGCGAGGCAAAACGACACGGCGCTGCCTGGTGTCCCTCAAGCGCCACGGGAAGGCGAGGGCTGGCCCAAGGCAAAATGCTATGAACGGAAATGGTTTGAGGCAGGAGGAGGAGAAGGACAAGGACGGGGAGGGCGAGGAGGGGGGGAGGAGGAAGAATGCGAGGAAGAGAACGAGAATGAGGAGGAACATTGCCAGGAGGAGGAGGAGGAGGAAGAAGAAGAAGAGGAGGAGAATCAAGAGCACTGCAAAGCGGAGGAGGACGAGGAGCAAGAGGAGTACGAGGAACACACAAGGAGGAGCACGGCGAGCAGGAGGAGGAGCAGGAGGAGGAAAAAGAATAGGAGGAGTGCGATGAGGAGGTAGAGGATGAAGAGGAGGAGGAGGAAAAAGACTAGGAGGAATAGCACCAGGATGATGAGGAGAATTCATATGAGAAGGGGGAAGAGGAGGAGGGAGATGAGAAGGCACAGGAGGAGAAGGTAGAGGATGAAGAGGAGGAGGAGGAGGAGCAGGAGGAGGGGAAGGACGACCAGGAAGAGCAAGATGCGAGCGAGCGAGCGAGCAGAAGCCGAGAGGCGGTTCGGTCGGGGCCGACGGCGGCCCGAGGGGCTCGACGGTTTCACCTTACCCCACGCTCAGTCCACCGCCCAAGGGACCCGAAGAGGAAGAGCAAGATGAGGGATGACGAGGAGGAGGAGGAGGAGGAGGAGGAGGAGGAAGAGGAGCAGGAGGAGGAGGAGGAGGAGGAGGAGGAGCGGGAGGAAGGGAGGAGGGGGATGAGGAGGAAGTGCAGTGGAAGGCGGAGGGCGAGGGCGAGAAGGAAAATGACGCAGATGCGGAGGAGGAGGACGACGACGGCGATGACGAAAAACTCGACGACGACGCCGAAGGCGCAGGCGGATCAGAAGCAGGAGGACGCGCGAACATTCTTAGGAGCCACCTCGATTCAAAAAGCGCGTTTAGGGGATACTGGACTCTTGCTATAATTTCTCATTTGATGTTTATTGCGGCCGATTTCCCTCTGAGTTTTCCTTGGACTCGGCCTCCAGCTTCCCAGAGAGGTTTGGTGCGGGTGTCGGTGTCGGGGCCATCAGTGCCTTGACGTGTGTAGGTGTCGGTTCGCGCTTGGCGCGACGGTTCTACAGTGCTAGAAGCCTCCCAAATTGGGACCGAGTAACATGAGGTCGAAGGATCGCGCCGCATCGCCGATGCATCAGCGAAGTCGGCGTGGAGAAAAACGGGCGAGCCGCATCGTCGATGCAGCGGCGATGCGGAGCCATCCTTCGACCCCATCTTTTCGGACACCTTCTGGGAGGCCTTGAGATGTACGCGCCAGAACCGCGACCACGACCACGACCACGACCTCAGAAGGCCGCGCGAGCCTGTCAAAATGCCCCCCTGGGCCGTACCGGATCACCGAGAGGCCCTCGGAGTGCTCGAGCCCGACCTGCAGCACGCCGGCGAGCCTCTCCCTGTACAGCTGGATGCCGGGCCTCCGGGCGGCCCTCAGGCAGCACTGCAGCGACCCTCTGGCGGCCCCACGGCGGCCACACGGCGGCCCCACGGCGGCTGCGCGGAGGTCGGCGGCGGCGGCGTCGTGGTCGTCGACGTCGTCGTCGCCGTCGCTGTCGATGCTCGTCATCCTCGATGCTCGTTGCATCAGATGCTCCTCGTCGGCGTCGTCGACGATCCCTCCGCCTCCTCCGCCTCCCCCGCGTCCCAAACGAAAGCCGTTCGCCTCCTCCTCCTCCCTCCTCCTCCGCCTCCTCCGCCCCTCCCCTCATCCTGTTCATCTTCCTCTGCGCTCACGCGTGCGCTCTGGCGCGCGCGAGGGGGTGTGAGGAGCAGGAGAAGGAAGAAGAGGACCAGTGTAAACCCAAGACGCACAAACGATGTTGCAATAAACCTTCCCTGCAAGGTCCCTCATCACAGGTCCCTACAATTACGCTGCCGAAGAACCCCACACACTGATTTTATGTCGTGTGTGTTCATACACCATGCCCCATGCCACATCCTGCCCTTTCCGAAATTTCACTGCAAATGTTCTTCAGGCTCCTCCTCCACGGTGGCGTCGAGGATGGATGAATGGATGAACGCACCCCCTGTGGTGTCGAGGAAGTGTCACGCCTGCCACGCTTTGCAAGCCCGGGACGGATGGGGAGACCACACCCAACGCACCCCCTGTGGTGTCGAGGAAGTGCCACGCCTGCCACGCTTTGCGACGGCCGAAAACGGATATGGAGACCACCCTCAGCGCACCCCCTGTGGTGTCGAGGAAGTGCCACGCCTGCCACGCTTTGCGAGCCCAAAACGGATAGGGAGACCACCCCCAGCGCGCCCCCTGTGGTGTTGAGGAAGTGCCACGTCTGCCACGCTTTGCGAGCCCGAAACGGATAGGGAAACCACCCTCAGCGCTTCACGTGTGGTGGCGAGGAAGTGCCACGCCTACCACGCATTGCGAGGCCGAAACGGATAGGGAGACCGCAACCAGCGCACCCTCTGTTGTGTCGAGGAGAAGCCACGCCTGACACGCTTTGCGAGGCCAAAACGGACAGCCTGACCACCCCCAACGCACCCCCTGTGGTGTCGAAGAGAAGCCACGCCTGACACGCTTTGCGAGTCCGAAGCGGATAGGGAAACCACCCCCAGCGCACCATACCCCGCATTACGAGGCCGAAACGGATGGGGAGACCACAACCAGCGCACCCCCTGTGGTGTCGAGGAAGTGCCACGCCTGCCACGCTTTGCGAGGCCGAAACGGATATGGAGACCACCCCCCGCGCACCCCCTGTGGTGTCGAGGAAGTGCCACGCCTGCCACGCTTTGCGAGCCCGAAACGGATAGGGTGACCACCCCCAGCGCACCCCCTGTGGGGTCGCCACGCTTGCCAAGCTTTGCGAGCCCGAAACAGATAGGAGACCACCCCCAGCGCTCCCCGTGTGGTGTCGAGGAAGTACCACGCCTGCCACGCTTTGCGAGACCGAAACGGATAGGAAGACCACCCCAGCGCACCCCCTGTGGTGTCGAGGAAGTGGAGGAGGGGAAGAGGAGGAGGGGAGGAGAGGAAGAGGAGGAGGGGAGGAGGGAGGTGAGGTGTGAGCGTCGCGGGTGCGACGCGGGAGGGAAGAAAACCAGAACCCCACTAAGCATGTGGGGAAAAATCATCCTCATGTCGGGAAGTGCCCCATTGAAAGACAACCGTCTGAAAATCCTCCATCGTGCCAAAACACCGCTCCTGGGAGTTCAATGCCGCGAATCAACGTGACTGCTGTGTCCTGACAACCCTGGACCGTGCCAGAACACCAAGCCTGGGACTTCAACGAAGCGAATCAAGGTGACTGCTGCGTCCTGGCAGTCCTAAGCCGCACAAAGGCAGCATTCCTGGGACTTCAACAGCACGAACCCTTGAAACTGCTGCAGGCTGATCAGACAAGTGCGCACGGCGCTCAAGCGAGAGCCACTGATTGAAAACGGACGGGGCTCCGTCTTTGAAATTGCTAGAGGCCAGGTAGATTTCCCAAGAAGTACCCAACCCCTTCTGCACGTGAAGCGACTACTACCGTGAACTCATTTTGCATAAGAGCCTTTGCGAGATATGCAAAACTCGGGAAGGCGTCGCGGAGCAACAACGGACCACGCAACACACCTGGACAACTTAGAACGGGGCACAGGAGTGACCAAGGAGGAAGAGGAAGGAAGAGGGGGAGGACCATCAGCATCCTCCTCGTCATAATCAATAGTATCCTCATCGTCCTCATCCTCGTCAGTATCCTCATCATCACCCTCATTATCATGCTCGCCATCACCACGATCATCACGCCGACGGCATGAACGACAACGCAGGCCGAGCTCCGAGATAAGAGGAGCTTCTTCCGCCGTGGCGTACTCTGTCTCCGTCGGGCCGCTGCGCTCCGAGAGAGCGCCTTTGGCAGCCCCTCGAGGAGCCGCGAGGTCC